ATGACAGGAGATAATGTGTTTTTTTCAGAATAGGTACCTCTAAGGGGAGAAAAACATTTCAAAAGACACCCACAAAGTGGGATCTTCAGTACCTCTTACGGGTTCTTTTTAAATTTCCCGACGAGCACCCCCGTCCTCTTTATACGGGAGTTCTCCCAGGCCCATCTCTCAGTATCTCCATTATGTTCGAAAGTCGAACTTCGTTTCATTTTTATCTGGGATCCCTGGGCGGTAATGGGCCGGCCTAAAGTCGAACATTTGTTACCTGAAATTGATATCAGACATTTGAGACAAATATACTTCAAATCAGGGACAAAACACAAGCTTCACATTCGATTCGATTGTTAAGACAGGCTCTTGATGTACGGTCAGCAAATACAGGAATTGCACCCTTCAAAGAGCTAACCATTCTCAAGTCAGCGTTAACTTAGACTAGCGGAAGTGCTAGTCAGGTTAAACAAAGTGGTATTTACGCAAACCGGAGAATATTTTAGCGCAGTACAATTGCTATTTGGGCCTTAGTCTGGCTCTCCATGTCGCCATGTAGGACAACTGAAAAAGGTACTCTCCACGACGCATGATCTGTGAGTTAAACCACTCGCGAAATACGTTGTCATAATTGGAATGCATTAGTTTAGGCGGGCACATGAAAAGTGCAGTCTCTGAATGAAAGCCGTTCCAAAGCCGAAGGCTTCCTAATTTTTAAGGAGAAGCGTGTTTGCTTTGCGTGCGCTCCAGTGATTTTGTATAACAGGAGTAGAAGAGAACAATCCTCTCTGCTTTTTATCATGGTAGGAGAGGCACGGTTCCTTAATGATTAGTGCACCGGAACTCCGGGTCGAGGGGGCTGGGTTCCAGCGCAAGCCGGGTTCATTGTGTTGTGTTCCTTGGGCAACGCAAGAAACTCTACTCTCACAGTGCTTCTCTCCACTCAAGAGTATAAATGGGTATGGGCGACTGTTGGAACTATCTGACAGGATGCTGGGTAATAACCTGCCATGAACTCGATCCAGAGTCCTGCCCGCTAACCATCAGGCCACCGCAACGTCATGAAATGTAGAGCTTTTCAACTTTAAAAATAATAGACTTTGAACGCATGATTACATCTTTGCGGTTAGCTTTGTTGAAGAGAAGTTTTAGTGTGAGATTAAATATGGTACCTATTTTTAACTACAACTTACTATTAATACTAGATTGGCTCTCAATCCCATGCTTAGTTTCTTGCACTGGTTGTCTCCACTATTTTGAATTATTTTGGCTCTTGCTCTTCCGCAAAAGGGAGAATTAGTCCGACCAAACGAGATGTAGCCTCTTTGAGAAGTTCGACTAGTTGGAGCAGAGCATGAAAACCCAGCGGAACGAATTAATGAAACACCTGGAAGAGGCTAAACAAGGTGTTATGATCGGTGATATATCAAGATCATGCCCCTTAAAATGACTACCTTCAGTTTTGTCTTTTTCACCGCTAACATCAATCTAATAGACTAAACTTTTCTACTGAAATATTACTGAATGTATTGGGTTAATCAGTAAAGACCAATAACAAAGGCAACTCTTTAGAGGCAGCTCTTCCAGTACAACGAGATCTCTTCATCGGATATTTTAAAACAAGCGTACTGATAAGGACAGTGGAGTAGTAGAGAAATATCACTATGTCACATTTTGCGAGCAATGGATTGTGCATGATGTATATCATACGTGACGATACGCAGTTTTATTTCATGTAAGTTTTGTTTGTGTTGATTAAATTGTGACAGACAGACAGACAAGTAAGTCAGTTAGTTGTTCAATAAGTCAGCCAGTCATCCAATTAAAATGCAGAAGGGTTAGCCGCTAGGAAAGCATGCAAGCACATACTTCAAGCACAGTAGCCGCATTAATGCCTCCATCACCATGGCGAGGTGAATCACTACGACTTCTGCCACAGCGTGCACAGACGGGATCATCATGGATCCTGTTGTTACGTTCATACAGTTTGTAGAGGGCGTAAAGGATGATCAAGAGCAAAATCAGACCTAGGCCTCCTCCGGTACACGATCCTCCGACAAGCGCTCCGCTTGAGCTCGTCAAAACATTCGGGAATTTCTCGAGCTGTTCATTTTCAAGACTGTCATCTGTGAAAGACGCTGCAAAACACGAAAGTGGACGTGTCAATTACAGGATCATGCCAATTTGGTATAAACGAAAAGACAGAGAAATCAACGGACCCATCTTAGTTTGTCTTCCGATCTTGTAATAATATTCAGGCGCTATCAACTCAATCGCAATTTAGGCCCGCAGAGTGCACGAATTATTTCCAAGGTAATTACCTTGGAAATAAGGTCTTATGGGGTATTTACTCTTTTACAGTCTTCATCCTCTCGGCTTATTTGTATTGTTCACTGAAAAACCCATTTTTTGGGAGTGTGCAATAAAGTTTCATTCATTCATGATATTGCAAATCAAAAATCTTCAACGTTCATGACGTTTATGTACACCATGTCCCATGTCACAGACTGTGTGGTTTTGCGGTCGAGACGCATCAGTCTTCAAGGTCTCCGCTCGTGCAAGTATGCCCTTCAGCGATTTACCACTCTTGTACGATATAAAGGAGCCTTTTTTTAAAAAGGCAATTTCAGAAGTGGTTGCTTTTAGATCAAATTCCATCTTTGCATCAGCATATTAATAATTAAGACCTTTCATTCCTTTGAGATGGTGGCTGACGAAAGGCTCTCTCAAGTCTTCTTATTTTGTTTTTTGTTTCAGTGCCGACTGCCCTCCGGCAAATTAATGGTGGCCGTAGATAATAATCTATAATATACTCGAATTCCGTCTTTTCCGTCGTTATTCTTTTACAGAACCTACAGAAATTTCGTGAAGTTCTACGAAATACCTAGCAACAAGGGAGCAGAAGAAGATCTAAACCAAACTCTCTTTATTCAAGACAACGCTACCGAGAGCGTGTCGCGCCAAATTGCAATCTAAATCTATGACAAACTGTTTCATGAGAGCTTCATAACTTGTGTGTCAACACTCCCACCAAGCTGCTTTAATATTTAGTAAATTCTAAAGGTCAATTAACGTACAGCAATAGTTGCTGGAACTGTGCAAACAGCAAAGAGAAATAACGTTTTGAATTTTGATGCCTACTTTACGAAACCATATCAATGTAGCGTCGCGCATGGCAATTACAATTTTGTAACCAATCACAGAGCAGCGGATATTGTCGGCGGTCTCGGAAACAGCGTTTTGAATCCTTTGTGCTATGCGTAAGTTTTAAACCGGTTTTAAACTTTTCTCAAAACTTAAGCTCAGGTCTTTCAGCTGTTTACTGACTAAGTCTGCCGAATCCTGGTCTTTGAAAGAAGACCCACACTGTCATTTAACCAGTTTTTGTTGATGATAAGATATAGCGGGAGTTAAAGGTGCATGAGACTAAACCGCCTATTGTTAACCAGCAACGTGTAATTTATGGATTTCAATGTGACTTGTGCGATGTAAGTTGAGTAGGTTATATATACTCTCAGGCACTTGCAACAACGCGTGGCTGAACACACTAAACAGTTTTCTTCCATTGGCAAACACTTCATTAACAAACACTGTACTGTTTCGAAAGATCTGTACAGACATTTTTCCGTTCTCAGGAAGTGCACGAGTAAGTTCGATTGTTTAGTGCATGAAATGCTGCTAATTAGAGAATTAGCACCATCTCTCAATGTCCAGTCGGATTCAATTCAAGCAAAACTATTTGCTTGACATTGCATATGTAATTACGAAGTATGTTAATCTTGAGCGAATTTTCTGACATTTTATCTTTTTGCATTTGAACTTGAAAATGGTGTCACGATGTCACCGAAATGTTGTTCTTTCTTAATGCTAGTTTTTACTTGTTTAAACTCTAAATTATACTTTGTACTCAGGAATATCAATTGATTTACCTCCTCGAATCACCGATTTACAAGTTCCAAGGCAATCGCGTTCCGCGTTTTCCTCCCAGCAAGCATAGATGTTAGTGTGCCCCTCTTCAGAGCTGCTTTCGTTTATAGATACAGCACCAAATTTATTGCGGTTCCATAACTGACAGGAGGGTGGAAAGAACTTGTCTCGATTTAGTGCCGTGCCAAAGCTTGCAGTCCACATACTTTGCGGCGTGGGATGTAGGTGGAAAACATCAGGGCCCCCAGAGAAGGAGTAAAAAGCTGCTGAGGTCTCGAAAAGACCAACAATAACCACAAAAATGGAAAAGAGAAGCATCTGGATATATCATTAAGCTCAATCAAGAAACCGTGTTGCCTTTCATAAACTAGACAGCCTACCCAGTGCTCTTTGCGGCATGAAATAATAACCTTAAATATACGATGTGTTTGTCTTCTGCTAACCCCACCCGTTACACGCTTCAATTCCTGCTTGCGTATGATAATCAGTCAATCAGTTTATGAGTCCTTAGCAGAAATGCTTTCGGGTAAGATTCTAATTCTAGTTATCGTAGTAGCTTTGCTGATCTGTGTTCATCCTAGTGACGCTTGGCGAAGACGTCGCCGTCGCAGATGTCCAGTGCGAGATTGTCAAGTCAGTTCTTGGTCTTCCTGGAGTCCGTGCAGCGCATCGGAATGCGGACAACGAGGATCACAAAGCAGATCAAGACAAGAAGAATCTTCTGCGTCTTGTGGAGGTGCACAATGTCCTGACTTACACGAAACACGGCAATGTTATGGCAATACACCGCGAGATTGCCAAGTCAGTTCCTGGTCTCCCTGGAGTTTCTGCAGCGCAGCCCAGTGCGGACAACAAGGATCACAAAGCAAATCGAGAGCGGAAAAATCTTCTTCGGCTTGTGGAGGTGCAGAATGTCCTGACTTACACGAAACACGGCAGTGTTATGCAAGTAAACGAGTCGATTGCCAACTAAGCTCGTGGTCGGAGTGGAGTGCCTGCACCGTTCCCTGTGGAGTCTCAGGAACACAGCACAGCGCTCGTCACAGGATAGTGACCGAGCAATGTGGCGGAACATGCACGTCTACGTTTCGTAAAACACGAGCTTGCCCAGACCTCAGCTGTTTGAACGGAGGAAGTTTAAAAGATGGTTCATGTTTTTGTAAGGAAGGATATTCTGGAAATTGCTGTGAGAAAAAAGGTAAGGGGAAATATATTAAAATATGCGCAAAAATTAATCAAAGCCGGTGAATTAGTTGGTCACGGTAATGCAATGCGTTGTTTTTTAAAATCTTTTCACAATTCTTGGAAAGGTATGGTGGATTTTTCTTAGGTTCTATGATTTGAAAATCCAGGCAAGAAACAGAATCCTTGATCTTATGTTGTACAATGAATTCTTCAACGAAAATAAATAGAAAACTAAACGAGTGAAAAAAATCAATTAACAGAGTTCATTTGCGTCACTCATGTCACTGAACACAGCTAATTGCTATTATCAATCTATGCATTTTTTCTTCGATTTGATTGGCCGAGAGGCAACCACGTGACCCGCAACTGAAATAACTTACTCCAAATAGTGGTCTCCCGATGAGTTATACCGTCTTAATGTGTTTCGCTACCAATAATATTCTGCTCATGCGTAACTGTGACTGTAACCACCGTTCTGTGAAAAGAATGCAGATCATTTCTCTGATCGAACTGTCTCAGAGTGATTTACAGGCCTGAATTTTTTTCAGGCTTTTATTTCACAACTGNAACTGTGTTGCCTTTCATAAACTAGACAGCCTTCCCAGTGCTCTTTGCGGCATGAAATAATAACCTTAAATATACGATGTATTTGTCTTCTGCTAACCCCTCCCGTAACACGCTTCGATTCCTACTTGCGTATGATAATCAGTCAATCAGTTCATGAGTCCTTAGCAGAAATGCTTTCGAGTAAGATTCTAATTCTAGTTATCGTAGTGGCTTTGCTGATCTTTGTTCATCAGAGTGACGCTTGGCGAAGACGTCGCCGTCGCAGATGTCCAGTGCGAGATTGTCAAGTCAGTTCTTGGTCTTCCTGGAGTTCGTGCAGCACATCGGAGTGCGGACAGCGAGGATTACAAAGCAGATCAAGACAAGAAGAATCTTCTGCGTCTTGTGGAGGTGCACAATGTCCTGACTTACACGAAACACGGCAATGTTATGGCAATACACCGCGAGATTGCCAAGTCAGTTCCTGGTCTCCCTGGAGTTTCTGCAGCGCAGCCCAGTGCGGACAACAAGGATCACAAAGCAAATCGAGAACGGAAAAATCTTCTTCGGCTTGTGGAGGTGCAGAATGTCCTGACTTACACGAAACACGGCAGTGTTATGCCAGTAAACGGGTCGATTGCCAACTAAGCTCGTGGTCGGAGTGGAGTGCCTGCACCGTTCCCTGTGGAGTCTCAGGGACACAGCACAGCGCTCGTCACAGGATAGTGACCGAGCAATGTGGCGGAACATGCACGTCTACGTTTCGTAAAACACGAGCCTGCCCAGACCTCAGCTGTTTGAACGGAGGAAGTTTAAAAGATGGCACATGTTTCTGCAAGGAAGGATATTCTGGAAATTGCTGTGAGAAAAAAGGTAAGAGGAAAAATGTATTAACATACGCACAAACTAATCAAGGCCGTTAGACTAATAGGTCAGGGTAATCCAATGCGTTATTCGTCCCGACGAAACTTTTCTCACAGTTCTTAGAAAGGGATGGCGGATTTCACTGAATGGTGTCCTGACTCGTTGTTATTTTGGCTCCAGCTGAACTTATTGGTCAGGATAATGCAATGCGTTAGTCTTTAAAATTTTTTCACAGTTCTTGGAACGGTAAGGTGACCCGTTTTTTCTTAGGCTCTATGCTTTGCAAATATAGGCTAGAAACAGAATTCTTGATATTCTGTTGTGCAATTAACTCTTGAACTAAAATAATAGAAAACTAAATATGTGAAACGAATCGTTCAGTCGCGTTCCTTTGCCTATTAGCCGAACTTGAAGGTTAATAGGCAAGGATTAGGATGAAATTTCGTTCTAGAACGGCAATGTCAGAGTGTATTATCTTCGCGGGTCGCGGGTAAATTGTCGTGGGACAAAAATGTCGCCGGTGGAAGAAAAATGTCTCGCGTAATAACTTGTGATAGTGTAGCGTGTAGTCAAGAGGTTGTGGGTAAACTACATTGTAGCAATTGAATTCGCTTTGTATCATCCTTTGGAATTGGATTATTTTGTGTCCTAAGCTTGTTTAAGCTAGCTACTTTCGTAGGCAAGGAATGACCGCTGATATTTGACGAGCGCTCTGTGATATCGCTTAAATTTTTGTCCGCAATTCGCGACAATTTACCCTCGACCCGCGAACCGAGATCCGAGATCCGAGACCCCGGCGAGAATTAGATTCTCCCGTCACTGAAGCAATTGCGTTTAGCTTTGTAAATTTTAAGTTGAACCAAATGATTATCCTTCCATATGTGGAGACACATTTTAATGGAATTGACGTCTTAATGCCAAAGTTTTGAGCTTGAAAGTATCACTCACTCAGAGCATTTCCCCATATGAATTCCCACACTAAGAAATAGGGATGGCGAATGGTCCTTTAACAGCCTTGCGTCTAGCGAAATTCAAATTTTCAATCGATGACTGGAAATCAGTTTACCGTTGCCTGTTGTTCATGACAAATAGAGGCTGGACCGATAATGACACAATTGAAGAACCAAGCAATACGATTGAAATCGATTCATTTTTTCCATTGTTTTGATTTACTAGTTGAATTTTCACAGCAGATGTAACACACTCATTTCTTTTAAACAGGCTTCGATAAAGACTTGTTTTGTGGAATCTTCATCCCAGCTTGTGTGATGCTTGGAATTGCAATTGCCATAAAATGCTGGTGGACGGAAATAAAGGAATGCATACACAATAGATCTGGACGCCAGGTACATACAACAAATGGATGACGCTAAGAGTGGAAAAAAAGTAGCTTCCGATATGATTCCGAAGTGATTAGAATTCTTTATATGGAGTACATTCAAGCTTGCCACTGAAGTGACTTGGATATCGTAGAGTAAACTAGAAGACAATACACCACAAAATTGCTAGTGCTTTATAATAAAAACAATTTACATTTAGTCCAGAAGTCACGATCTCTTTGTAACTACAATATATTAAGACAGCCTGTAAAGCCATAAATTTATTTTGTAACCTTTTGCTAAATATACAATTCAAGAATATGTACCCTAGTTTATGTTTCTTGTTGAATGTAGAAGTATTTTAAGCCTACTTGTAACTGTGATGAATAGTGAACTGATAATTTTGCAACTCTTCGGTGAGGTTTTCTGTTTATAATGTATGTCCTTTAGTGTTGAATTTGAATAATCTCAAACTATAAATAACATACGCGGTGCAAAACATTTATATCCAAGAAAAAGTTATACTTCAGTTAAGTTTTAATCCTGTGTTAACGTTAACCGGTTTTCGAACAACCCGGCCGAGATTTGTAACTACGATATATTAAGCCAGTCCGTAAATCTATAAATATATTTTGTAACCTTTTGCTACAATTCAAGAGTATGTACACTAGTTTCTGTTTCTTGTTGAATGTAGAAGTATTTTTAAGCCTGCTTGTAACTGTGATGAATCCATAGAGTTAGTAGATTATGTAAGGTTTTGTGAGTTATGCAAGAACCACTCGAAGGCATTTCTGTCAATTATTATTGCTTCATTTACTTTGTTTTGCAACATTTCGCTAATGATATGCTTCTGCCATTTATTACTCACAGTTCGTTTTAGTATATATTCCAGATGTGAATCCAAGAATTTGACATTCTGATTGGTTGAAAAGTTTGGCTTATGGCGTTATATCTCTGTCAACCTCAGTGATTTTTTTTTTTAATTTATTTCTTGCCGTTGTATTTTCTTTATGGTGATTTAACGCTCGTTGTATCATATATCAATGAACGGGATGCTCGCTCTTGATGTGTGTTTGTGTTTATTAAGATCAGTTATAAAATACTTGATTTTCGTTTTGGTGTGATTAGAGTAAAAAGTGTGTTACTTCTTAGACAGAGCTTGCTTGTTGCACACACGTTCGTATTTTGATCGAGCTTACTTAGCTCTTAGGCGCAACGTGTCAAAAGTGCGGATCGTTGATTGGTTGAATGTGCTCGCTCAAATACAGTCTCGGTTATCAGTTGAATTTTCGCAATTTCTCCGCTATCAGTAAATTTAGCAAATCTAAGATGTCAGCGATCAGTTAAAGAGGCGTCCCTTCTCAGCCATAGCTGTAAACAGTTTTTAAACAATGAGATTTCATATTGCTGTACGTCTGTTCAGTGACTGATCACATATGACGTCAAAATGTGGAATTCAAAATGGCCGCCATATCGGTAAAAAGCAAGGTCTATTGGCAGAAAAAACTTCATTCATTTTACTCAGTTACACCTTTTTGAGTTCTTTTTCCTAAATAAAATGCCTCTTAGTCATTGCGAGGATGTATCTAATCAGTGGTGTTTGTGTGTCAATCAAGTAGTCGTTTGGTTTATAAAACCGGATGATGTATGCAGTGCAGTGATCTGCGTCAAGTAAGCTCAAAATGATCAGAGTAATATATTATGGAACGATGAGGACATTCGTGTGAACGGTTCCCAGGTTTATTATGAAAATATTTCGAGTCCGGCATCTTTTATGTAACTAATTTGTTAGTTAACTTAACTGGCGAGCTAGAGGCATTTAATATTAAAAAAGATTAAGATTCCAAACAGTACCTTTCTTATCGTGAACTCTACTTCGTTCAGTTCTTTCCCTTACTTTTAAAAAGTCGCCCCATCGATAACCTCTCCCATCAGTACTATTGATAACAGTGTTTTAGATGTCACGAAAAAAAGAAAGCAAAAAAGTATTCAAACTCACTTTTAAAGCAAAAAAGCACATTTTACCGAATGCAGCCAATTAAACACAAAAGAAACTGATATAATTCTTGACTGATCTTTTACAGCAGATCTTCATACTCCACCATAAAGTTATTCTAAAGCCCTAATTGAGGGCATTCTAGTACAAGGGTCTAAACGGTATCATATATACCAAATCTTAACTTCACAAAATTATTCTTAGCCCAAGAGACAAGTGTTTATTGAGATGTTACGTTTGTGAAACTGATCCAGGAGAGGCGTATCATTTCCTTTACAGTTTCCTTTTCTCCAGAACTTCCTGGGACGTTTAAATCGCGATTAAAAAATGATTTTAAAAAATCATCAGCTTTACAGATATGTTTAACTTTTTGCGCCTCTCTCTTCCTTTATACAAGCGATAGATGAAAAGGCAAAGTCAAGTTACAGTGCTTTCTGCTATGACTTCTTATTCTCTCTGGCGTTCCTAAAGGTCAAGAAACTCACTATTCGCACCAGTCCCTTGCAGAGCGAGTATAAGATCTACTCCCTAATGTATTCAGATCACTTTCACGTAACTAGCGTGCTCGAAGCACCTTATCCTTTGCTCGCTCTAATAATTTGCTGCTATGGCGGATGAAGTAAATCAAGCTCCGGCCGTTCAAGGCGTTAAGGCCGCCCAGGTTGCAGTTCTTCACCAACAGTTGCAAGTTTTTCCTTGCTTTGTTTTGTACCGGCGTTCCTCCCCATTTGTTACCGTTTATTTCGCCAGTTCGCCTATTGTGTACCCTGGCCTCTCGCTATCTCACTGCCTCTCCTAGTCGTTTTCACTGTTTCTCTTCCTATATTTCTCGTTTTGCTTCGTTCGTTGCTGCAAGTTGCCGTTTGCGTACTTTTCTTGCCGTCCCGGCATGTTTTTATATTTCGTTTAGCCCGCTCGTCATCTTTCACGTGCTTGTGGAAGGCTTTGTTAAATCCCGCCCGGAATGGGGGCTGAGGAGCCAAGGAAATTTAATTACATTTTCATCCCCAGAGCGCAATTAGCAGGGCTGAGAAGCCAAAGAGCTCTTTTAAGGACGGTGCCTGCTAATTGCAAAGGTTTTTGCGCCAGGTTAAGACCACGCGGAAAAAGTAGATCTTTGCAAGGGCTATTGGAATCCACAAAGAAAAATGGGGGTAGCCACATATTTTTTCGAGATAAGTAGTCTTGAATCTCAACAAAAATGCTGACATCAGCATTTTCCTGTAAAAAGAAGGAAAGGATATTTCTTCACAGATTTCCATAGAATTTGCCTTTACATATAGAAAAGTAAACACATTTGAAAAGATCTTTAAACTACATGGCAAATGGTAACAAAAAAAAAAAAACATTTTTGATATGTTTTTAATTACAAAATCGTTGCAAAAGCGCTTTTAGCGTATCTGACAGCCTTCCTCTGGTTCAGCTAAAATACAGTCTAAATACCTTATGCTCACAACCAGAAACTAATCACGTGTTGAATAGACTTCCCACTTCCATTTCATAGCATAAAATGTAGGAATAACCACGCGTTTTTTAAAGTTATTGATCTTTTTTGAAAACTTTTACGGTACTCGTTACATTTTTTCCTGTCACCTCCCCAGTAAGTAAGACATTTGCGTATCTCGCCCTTGCTTTGCACGCGCACTACGCCATCTGCAGGTACATGTTTACAGCTGGATTTCAGAATAATTTTCGACAGATAACAGCTAGGTTTTCAGCTGGAAGACGTAAACAGTTAGTGCTTAGCGATGTGCTGCTATTCTGGTGTTCCTGGTTTAAGCACAGGTTCATGAAACTTGATTTGGTCACAGTAGGAAAATTTTGCTTTCATTTTAGTCGTGTACGTGATAGCGTAGTTGATTGCGTCAAATGTCAGCCCCAGCGCGCGCGTGGAGCTAAACCATGGCTTGCGTGATGCGCAGAACGTGTGCGCACTGAACAAAAGTGGGCACCGTCCTTAACTTGGGCCGAGAAGCTGGAAAGGTCCTATATATTGTATTTCCCAGAGTATTAGTTGGGCTGAGATGCCGAGGAGACCTTTTTTAAAGTTGGGCTGAGAAGCCGAGAAGACCTGTAAAGTTGGGCTGAGAAGCCGAGAAGACCTGTAAAGTTGGACTGAGAAGCCGAGAAGATTTTTATTACATTTCATTCCCCGATGTGCGTAATCAGGGCTGAGAAGCCAAAAGGATTTCTTATGTTTGTATTTCCTAGCGTGTTATATAAACCCTTTTGTTTCATTAGTTATCAGTCAGTCAGTCAGTCATTCAGTCAGTAGTGTTTCTATGCCATATCAATGCGATTGGGGCTACTATCGAGAGACAATCAAATAGTCGTTTATAAAGACAGACGGTGTCTGCTGCGCAGTATAATCCGCAGTTGTGAACTTGATGTTTTCCCACTGAAATACATCTATTTTTTGTCCATCACATTAACATAAATTCGATTTATTGGGTTCGACAAGGTTAGTTGAAAATCATTTTGTCGATATGAAGCGTATTTCGAGTGACACGCGGTTTCATTCCCCTTCAATTCATAATCCTATGGATAAGTCAAATTAAATCAGTTCGAGAAGAACTACCTGCAGTGTTCAGACACGCTTTTGATAAGCGAAAAGGCTCAACTACCGAATTGCGGCTTGCTCAATTAACACTGAAGATGGCAGATGCATCTGCCGAAACATGTTTGTTAAACTTAAGAGTGTCGTGGTTTTCCATAATGAAATTACGAAACAATATTTAGGTTATTAATTTACATTTTACAGCAAATCTTCATGCTAACCCATAAACTTATTCTAGAGCCCTAATTGAGGACACTCTAATACAAAGTTCTAAGCTCTATCCTATGTACTGTATCTAAACTTCACGAAATTAGTCTAGGCCTAGGTGGCGACTATTCCTTTTGCAAAACTGACCCAGAAAAGTTGTATCATTTCAAACAGTTGTCCTTATTCTAGAGCTTTCCGTTGTCTGTGGTTTCTGTGGTCTGAAGATCTCGCTTGTGATTGAGTATAACACAAAAAATTCCAGATACTGATTTTAAATGTTTGTCACGCTTTTATAAGTTTGAAAGTAAAGGTCGCTATCTAGGATATGTCGTCACGCATCAAAAGGCTAACTTTGTGCGACGTTATCGCCACTGCACATTTTTAAAAGAGACTAAGCACGATAATGCGCATATGCAGCTCCGAATGTCAATTAAATACAACCAGAGCTGGCCTTTCTATTCTTCTAAAGTTTTAAAACAAATTATTGCATCTTGGCTTTAGCTAGCCGGTCAGTTAGTTATTCAGTAAGTCATCAGTCAGTCGTTCAATCGCTCATTTATTGTCATTCATTGGGTCAGTCAGTCAGTCAGTCGGTCTGGCGGTCGGTCAGTCAGAGCAAGTCAGTTTACCAGACAGTCAGTCAGTCATTCAGACAGACAGACAGACAATCAGTCAGCCAGTTGGTGACTGAATCAATGGAGAAAGTCATTTGTTAGGTCAGATAGTAGGTTGTTTAGAATTTGCAGGTGGTGCAGACATTCAAGCACATGAGAGGTCAGCACATTCTTCAATCGCAGACACTTCATTGTAAGCGGGAGGTGGACTGCTGGGAACGCTACGACAACGTGGACAACTGGAAGCTGTGTTTTGATTTGTAGCAGCATCCGGCTGAGGAACATGACCAGTCGTAGGATGAACGCTTGAATCATCCTTGAGTAGTTTGTATAGGAAGTAAATCACCACACACATGACAATCAGTCCTCCGGTACACGTTCCTCCGATTAGCGCTTCACCTGAATTTGTCACAACATTGGAGAATTCATCCAGTCGTTCATCTTCAGGACACACACCTGGAAAGGACAGCAAAACATGAGACTAAAAACTTCGCTAGATCATGACAAAGAAGCTAACAGCCTCATCTTTAATTAGTTTAAGTTTGTCTGATTTTCTAATTTGGCGCTACAGTCAACTGAGAAGAATTCGTCTTAAGAGTTTCTATTAAAGAAAAATGCAACATTTACAGAGGTTAGCTAGTTTTCATGCAGGTCCCCTTTCCTGGTCGAATTGGAATTTGGAGTGTTGGAGAGTTTTTCTTTTTTCTTTTGGAGTTGTGAGTGTTCTCACAGCACACAACGGACTGACTAGCTGGTTTTACCTTATAGAGGGGGGCATTAGGTGGTTTTGTTGGAGTTGTGAGCGTCTCACAGCACACAACGGACTGACTAGCTGGTTTAACCTTATAGAGGGGGGCATTAGGTGGTTTTGCTGGAGTTGTGAGCGTCTCACAGCACACAACGGACTGACTAGCTGGTTTTACCTTATAGAGGGGGGCATTAGGTAGTTTTGTAGGAGTTGTGAGTGTCTCACAACACACAACGGACTGACTAGCTGGTTTTACCTTATAGAGGGGGTTCTGAACATGAGCATGAGGGGATTCTGAACACCGCAAAAAATTCGGCAAATACTGCAATATCCCAAAAATAATCGCAAAATACCGCAATACTTCAATACCGAGTCGAAGTTCGATGTTCTATCGAAACCA